CTAAACAAAACGCACACAAAAACCCTCTACTATTATAACAATTTGAAGCAGCTTAGTGGCGTTTTCCTTAAATAAAAGGCAATTTTAAATGGAACAGCTGGCAATATCTTATATTTACTTCATCCTGGATTGAGATAGGCTACCTGATATCACGCGCTTTAATTGCTCTCCTACATTTAGCATATAAAATCTGTTTTAGTAGTACGGCTTCTCCCCAGCACTGTCCAGTGTAATAATTAGTTTGTTACAGGGTCTGAGTTCAGAGAAATTTGTGAATGGGACACAGTTAATCAAGTATTCGCTGCGCGCCGTGACGTGTCGCTCGCATCCAGCCAATCTGTGCGCCGCAGTGAACGTCCAACACGCCGCTCACAAACCAATGGATGGTCAAATAGCAAAGACTAGCGCAGGGAGAGGCCAATCAGCGGGAGGCATGCAAACGAGGAATCCGCTCCGGCAGAATGTCAAGTAGTCAAAGATGGAGTCCGGATCTGGAGGCCGTGTGGAGCACTGCAAGCCTTCTCCTAGCTATTCAGGCGGCGGTTCCTTTCAGCTTCGATTGGCAAGCTCTCTCGGAGCTGTAGCGCAGAGAAGCTATGAACCAGCGCTGCGCTTGGTGCGGTTTGTGCGTAACGCAGCTTTTCTTTGTTTTATGGACAACTTTTTCCTTTTGCTCTTGTGCTTGTAACGGATCGTCCCTCCCTTGGCCACATACTATTCGTGCTGGTGGAGAGAGAGGGGGTCTGCCCGCTCCACTTGTAGCCTGCTCGAGCTCCGCTGCCAGAAGCAAACTTGGAAGTTGCACAAGGATCGAGTGCTTATTACCACACCAACGAGAGTTGAGGTTGGAAGCTCGCTACAAAACTTGACGGGGACACGGTGCATGCATTGTGGACACCTTACGCACCTCATTGCCTCGTATATTTTCTATGTTCTCTTTTGCACCGTGCATTGCGTTTCTGTATCTTCATTCGAACAGCTACATGTTGTTCCTAAGCTGTTGTGCAATCTAACAAGTCGTCAGTATTGTAGTCTGAAGTGGTAGAGCAGAGCGTAAAAGGCCTAGAGGCCTGTCAATAACGTATGGGGGAGACAAAATGTGAAGAACAGGTACATTGTGTACATTATACATTGCATTGATGCTATTTTAAGGCTCAAGTACGTAGAATTAGTTCAGAAAAAACATCCGAAGAGTGCTCCGGAAACCTTAGCCTGCTGCGTTTTTCCTGCTCTAATGGTATAGATTGTGTAGGTTGTGTAACAGCGCAGTAACTGTGCAAACTTGCAAACGAACACTATGATTCAAACGGTTTTTTTATATTTAACTGTGACTTATCAGTACCAAAGTAACTTTACCAAAGTTTGATGCAGGAAAACACTTGTATAACGACAATTATGTGTTTTTGTCTTTACTGGTTTTGCTGCTTTAGGTGTGGACAGCCTTTAGCTCTGTCTCAACCCCCCTCCCTACGCCCAGCCTCCCATTTCCCCCCAAATTAGAATGCATGTCATTCACTGTAGAGAATGGTATGGGCCCACATGCTGGGAAATTCCCATTCTCCCAGGGTGAGAGTAACCAACGCTGTTTAATTTAGGAAGTTTATTTAACTCCAGTAGGCAGGACAGTGGCATTTGTCAAGTCTTTGTAAAATAGGTTCTCTGACTTCCAGCTAAAGGACTTCTTAGAAAAGTATTCTTGTGGAAAAAGATGACTACTTCTATTGGGTACAGAGGCAGTGGAGATGCAGTGTTGTTGTCCAGCGCCCTTTTTCTGTTGCACTACTGAACATTTGGGTGAGCAGTGCAATATTAAAAGGGCATTGGCTGATCAAACAGAGACTAAATGACTGCCTTTAACCCATCAACATCTCATCATACCTATTAAGGTTTTACTTTATGTTTTAATTGAAAGCAACTTTTAATAAAAAGCGTTTAGTAAGGTGTAATTTTGTTTTTTGGTAAACAGCTTTGTGGCTTATTTAGGTGTAATTTGACTTTGTCAGTGAGGAATGGCCGTCCCTGCGTCCACGTGCTGACACATGCTGAGGTCAGCTGCTTTGACAATGTTGCACTACTGTACCATCCATTCTAGCAGTGCAATAGTATTGTCATAGCATTTGGCCTGAGCTCTCTCTGATCTTATTTTATCAAAAGAGTGAAAGTTTTCTAATGAGCCACTACTAGTGACTGATGACTGATAGCAGCTGGTGGCACACAGCAGAGCCTCCTGCACTGTTTACTTAGGCCTGTATTTACAGAAGACACTTTGTCCACTTTGCTCACTCAAATTTAAAGTGATGCACCTTTATGAGCTACATACCACATTGCTGACATTTTTCAACCTACATTGCTAGTAGTCCTCCGGCACACACCAAGAATAGAAAAAGTCAAAACAGGTCCATATCTAGTGTGTCTCAAGTTACAATTTTAGCTGTATAGGTACAGGACTGGGTGTCCTTTTACTTTTCAGTGAATAAAAAATGTAAGTTATATTGGCCTTATTGACTGGAGGAATTAAGACCTAAAAGCATAAGCATGGTGAGACAAATTGTTAGTAAAGGGCATGCAGCTTTTAAACATGTATATATATATATATATATATATATATAATCAGTAGAATTGTTAAGATAGATGAATTTATGGTAGTTTTCATAGAATAATCAAATCTGTAGATGTCTTTCTTTATTTGCACAATTAATCTAGGTTTTAAAAAAAAGTCTTCAAGCATGACAGTCCTGTATGTCTCTTGTGAAGACAGTGTCAGTGCATTCTCCTGTGTCTTCACCTGTGTGTTTTGTCATCAAAAAACACACAGGTGGGGGGGCTGAAGCAGGTCGAGGGGGGAGGGGACCTCAGGAAGGAATGTAGGAACAGGCCTCTCTGCTTTCTTCCCATCTTTTCCCTCTGTTCCATTAAGTGTCAACCTTCAACAAACTCACTCCTGTTTGTCTTTATGGGCACCAGTGAAGCTTTGTTGGTGCAAATGTTTAACCAAAGTCCAGTTGCAGTTACACTTAAGTAATTATTAAAAACAGGACAGGAAGTGAAGCGGACTCCTTGCAGCTGTTCAGGTGATCTGACTCCTGCCTGGCTCTAATAAAGATCTTTCAAAGTGTGTAAAAGTTGACTTAACAGAAGTTTTGTAAGTAGCTAAGTCACTTGACTTGTGTGAAATTCAGCCCGGCTAAAGAACGTGACTTGTTTAGGCTTGCTTGCAATGCTTGCTGGGAAATGGTGGAATGTGTGGAATGGGGGCCGGTTATCTGAGCGCAGAGAGCAGTGCAGAGCCAACATGTCAGCGGTGCCTCACACCAACGTTTCATGTGAGGGATGCACAGTGACATCTGCAGCACATTACAACCACAACTCCACTGTACTATGGCCCAGGCCTGCACTGTGGCCTCAGGAGCACACCTCAGGCAAACATAGTACTGATAGGATAACTACTACTAGGTCTGTAGGCATTACTGTAAAATAATGCTGTCTTTTTTTTCCTTTATATATATATATATATATATATATATATATATATATATATATATATATATATATATATATATATATATATATATATATATATATAGGCTATACAAATAAAGACATTGGAGAAAATCACTTGTTTGTACATGTGTTAAACTTGCAACAATTGCAAATTACTTTGGAAACGTAAATATGTGTAAATATCCATTTGAATATTCCCCCAGAGTTACATATCTAATCATGATACAGGCTACCACAACATAGTTCCAGGAATACAGCAGATATAATCATAAAATCAATATAGAATCATTCCTGACCCCTAATTTGAACAGTTAAACCTGGGCCTGTGCAAAGGCCCAACCAAATTTGTTTAGTTGTCAAATTAAACAAAAGAAGACTTTATGGTGTTTCTACCTATCTGGTTGTGTAGATGAGAGGAAGAGCTTTAATACATGCTTTTAAGTAGGTCTAGACATTAAAGCAAACTGCAAAATAAAATGGCTTTTGATTTTAAAATAATAAGACCATATTTTAGCAGTTATTGTACAATGGTATAGAACTTTAATAGCTCCTTTTTAAAGAGCACTGCAGGTACAGGAGACTTTATGTACAAGGTCAGAGAAAAGTTCAGAGAAATAGAGACTGTTCATTGTGAATGAAATTATTATTATTAAAGCAGCTGATAAAACATAGCAAGCAGCCACCAGCATTTCCAACATTGGTCCATCACTCAGTTCCTAAGGTGGAGCTACTCTTAAAAATTAGACAAGAAACTAGCAACGATTAATCCAGGTGAACAACACAGTGAGAGAAGGGCTAAAATAGTCTTAATTGAGGAAATGAAATCATCCTGGAAACCGGAGGAGGTGGCAGTGTATGGAAGGGGTACATCCTTTCAGCCTGACCTGCATTCATCCACGCATCAGATTTACACACCCGCATGTACACAGTAGTTTACTTCCTCAAATATTTGACCAAAATATCACTTTAATGAATGGTGCAGTTCTAGTATGGAGGCAATCAACACTTTAAACTTTTCTTCCAAATCAGTTTTCGATTTCCACTGACAGTGATAATAAATTGATATAGTTGATTTTTTGCTGCTCTGCTAGTCTGACGATGCTTTTTTCCATGAAGAGTGCAGGCAGAGATTTAGAAACAGCAAATTCCTGTGCACTGTGACCTGATAAAGTTTAGTCTCAGGGAGCAGGGCTGTCTGAGGCACAGGAGATAGCACAGGGGTCTGTCCCACAGCCCAACAAGAGAAAACAACAAGAATGTTTCAACACGGTACACATCTTATAGAAACGTATGTGAGGCATTATAAACGAAACATTTACATGCATTTCGCACTGGAGCGCAGAATATTGTCCCTGGTGGGATACACTGCCATCTGGTGGGCAAGACACAAACCGCAGTACAAGGGCTAATACAGACTTTAACACAAATAAACACAAATATTAAAAGCGAATTAAATAATTTCTTTACTTGCCAGTTTTCTATATTAATATATTGTATCTGTAAATCAATCTTAAGCAAGCACATTTAACATATTATAATAGTCATATTTAAACCACTTTAAAATGAATAAAAAAATGTCACTTTGAATTGTCTATGTGCGTTTTGGATGGGAGCCCATGTCCAGCAGAGGGAGCTGCTTTCAAGCTACTAGCATCTGAACTAATGGGATAATAGCATCAAAGACATTGTTAACCTTTATGCCACTGATGAACAAGAGGTAATTGTATTAAGCTGACTGATTGTTTTTATATATATAAAATAGACTCTTCTGTTTATGTTGTAGGTTGCTGTGAGTCAAGATGTCTCAGAGAGAAGATATAGGTCAGAGCTCTGAATAGTCGGGAGGGTTGTCTGCAGAGGTCATTTCATGGGCCATCTAAGAGTAGAAGAACTGTGATGAAAAGTTAAGTACTTTGATTGAGCTGTGTGTGCTTCGGGGTGGGGGCACTCACCAGGACTGGAGGGGCCAAGAAAAGGTAATTGAGTGGGTAGAAGAGTAGGTTGATACAGCTGGTAGAGTAGAGATCAGCATATCTTATTAGTTGACTGGCAAAGAGGGTCTGTCTGGCTCCACTCCGCAGAAGGCTGCCCATCTGACTGTAGGCTATGTCCATTCTGTAGGTCAGCACCTGAGATCACCAAGTAAACCACACAAGAAACACGTTCAGAATTCCGGTTCACAGTGTTCAGGCATCAAAAAGGATTTGAAAGCTTTCAGTTGTATTGTTGTTTCAGTCATTCTTCAAATCTATTTTTTGTGTCAAAGCTGAAAAAACTGACCTTCATTCTGTACTGAATAGCATGAATCTCTGGATCTGTGCTGTCCACGTTTCTTTAAATGAAGAAAAAAGAGCACATTAGAGTATGGCATCATGTTGTGCTATCCTGTGCTGAATACAGTATTCACTCTTTCATCACTCTGAAACCAATGCAATATTATGTGGAATGGTAACAATTAAACAAGAAAGTGGATAAATAACTAATTAGAGTGTTCATAATCTCACTTGTGAAGCTCTGCTAAGAAGATGTCCAGGCGCTTGAGCTCCTCAAACAGACCTAACACACACACACGCACACACACACGTTACATTTAGAAATATGCTATCCTCTAGTTTTAGTTCCCTTTTTACCTCTGTTCTTCTCCCACACCTCCAGCTCCTTACTCAGCTCAGGTACCACCAGAAACGTTTTCCAGCCCTGTCTCTTCTTGGATCTGAGGATATCTCCAAAGATATGGTCTCCAACATACAGGATGTCCTTCCCCTGGACATTTAGCAGATCACAAATTACGTCGGAGGAACCTAAAGGCACAAGTCAAAAGTTCAGCTGTACTTGCTTTACAGAGTGATACAAACTGAAGTAAAATAAAGTTAGTTTTAATCATTGTCAATATACATCCAGTCATGGCCCTTAGTACCTCCGGAATACACAGTCCCATGCTGGAGGTCCCCTATGTAGGTTCCAATACGCAGTTTTCCTGTGTCCTGTGTGAACACATTAAACATCATATTTATTCCTTTTGTCAGATATTTAATATAGATTTAACTGTTTTCACACCGTGTCCACTTGTCTCAGAACTGTCCCATCTCCAAAGAACTGGGGCTTCCTGGTGTCCACAACAATGAGATCAAAGTAGGAGCGCCAAGGTTTTATGGGACTGCCAGGCTAAGAGAAATATCAAAATATGCAGTTGGCTTATCATCAAACACTGGTACTTATTATTGTAATTGTCTCACCTTAACTGTGGTTTCTAGTAGGTATTTCATTATAGCCTGAACATACATTGGAGGTTAGATAGCACTTCGAAATAGAATGGATTTCAGCTTTTATAAAGAAAACTCACTTCTGTGTAACAGTAGTCACTGTTTGTTGCCAGAAACACTTTGGCCACCTCTTTAATTCTTGTTAAAAAGTATGGCAGATTAGGCTGAAAAAAAATAAAATAAAATAAATAAACTACTTGAAAAATATGTCTAAGATATAATTACAAGTTACTCACATCCTTTTCTACGTACTTCTCCAAATTCCTAATGGTTTTTGTCCTTAAGGACACCCTGAAATTCAGTTAATTGCATCATCATATAAGTTTTGTTTGTTCATAAGAGCTGAAATATTTTACCCTCATTTTCTTTCTAAAATAAAGAGTACAAAATCACTTTGTCATGAATGTAATCCATGGCGGCTCGGACATCCTGATACATACTTCTGAAGGTCATCATCAGGTCACCATGTTGGAAACCTGTGGTTAGGCTGCAGTTCACACCAGTCCAAAAACAGACAGACAGGGTGTTTGGTCCATTATTCACAACTTATGTTTCTTACAATGTGTAAAGAGGCAAAGATAAAAGCAGCTCACTGACTTTTCGTATCGTGTGCATCTTGTGAAGAAGTCCACGAGGCAGGAGTAGATGTAAGTCTCTGGAGAGTTAAGGACAGGCCATTCACATGAGACTCAATTTTTGAACTGCTGACCCATAACATTTTAGATACAATATACCATTTTATTGTAAGAGCAATTATCAGCAAATGAGTTATGACTTTAAACAGCCTTTTGTTCTATTTTCATTTTTCAATTTGAAAGTTTCTTACATGGAAGGTCAAAAATCAAGTCATGTTTTGTTAAAGACAAATTACAATCAGACTTTTAAAAGTGTGGATCAAATTTGCAAAGAAAATAAAAATTGTGAAATAATTTGGAGTTTACCAGACAGATTGAAGAGAGTGCTGAGATTGTAGAAGCGATCAGTGTCATGCCTCTGAATAAACTTGTTGGGATAATATTTTTTAATGTCATACCTGGAAAACATTATTATTATTATTATTATTATTATTATTATAGCATTTATTGTACACAATAGAGCCTTAACAGTGCATTGCTCATTCAGTCCACACTTGATAGTTTTAAGATACTGTTGGAGCCACAGCTGTCCTGCCATAGACAGGCTGCCAATCAGCGCTATTGACCCCTACGACAACACTCCACATTCATTCCAGTGTCTTGCAAGACCCAAGACAACAAGAGTTTCCATTAGAGCACTAAAACTGCTGGCTCACTGTGGCACCTGGTATTCCCAGTGGTCTTCCTTCCAAGTACCAACCATACCCAGATTTCCTTAGTTTACATTACACTAATTTGTATAAAAATACAATGCAACCATTTTAAAACTGTGATATGCTCATTTACCCTTTGAGAAAGTAGAAGCCATGAGAGCTGACCAGAATATTCCCATTTGAATCCACCTTGAGGAGATTGCCAAATGTTGTGTCAATCACCAAACCTCTGGTGGAAAAAACAATAATTATAAGACCTAATTATCAGTTGTATTAAAAAAAAAAAAAAAAAAAAAAAAAACATCTTGCAGTACTCCAGTGTTTGTGTTTGTGAGATTGCAAAGTACCTTGTGGGAAAGCTGGGGTCATAGGTGTAGCGCAGTAGATCATGAGGGTAACCCATACAAACCAGTCGGTCTCTGATCATCTCAAAGCACATGTTCTCAAAGTCAGGTGATTTGTAAACTGTTGAAGCGAAAACATTTATTACAACCCATACAAGTGGTATTAAAATACAATAGTATACTTTTGCTTTATTTTGCATACTTGCCAATGTGTAGTCCATATCAAACCCATAGCATTTGATGTTTTCTAGTGTCAGGCTTCTGTTCACAAAGATCCTGTGACCAATCACACATTACAACACACACCATGTATTTGCAGCAAGCAAGAGTTTGTAACAGCAGTTAATCAATACCATAGCCTCTAAAAGTCAGAATGTGTGCTGAATTTTGCCTGTCATGGTGTTTTCTTTCAGATATTCACAGAAATATCCAAGATGTAATTGTTTTTGAGTGTTGCAGAGTTACAGAAGCAGATATTAATCCAACAAGCCATTGCTGCTGAAATTGGGTGCAGTTAGACTGTTTATTTTAGTTAAAAATTTTTAACAAATCAACCAGAGACTTAGGAAATGGTCAAGTGGCTGACAATAATCACTAGAGGGTTGTCTGTGTTGACATTAAGGCTCTCACTGATGCTGTGAGTGCAACCCATGTCCCTAAACTTCACCTGCCACAGAAGGGATTCCAGACATCAATACCAAAGCTCCTCCCCATTTGAAAGTGTTGTGCTGAAAAGTGTTGATTCTCTGGTAAGAAAGAATTCCAGTTTCAGTATCCTGGATGTTTTGACATAATGAGGAATCCCCCGAGCAGATGTTTTGTACGTTGTTTTTTTTCTTCATTGCAATGATGGATGTTAAGGTTGCACAGGGGTCAAACACCAGCTGACCAAAGAGATATACTTAAAAAATCCTCTTCTGATGGGTGGGTTGTTCAACAGAGAAATGTCACAGCTAACACTGCCTAACTGACCAGGAACTTCTTTTGTCATCTTATTTAAATCGAATTAAATATACTTGGTGATTGATCATAGGGTAATGAAAAAATGTGTTCCAGCACATAAAGCATCAATCCCCCATCCTTCTGGAAACACTTACAGAAAGAAGAAATGGATGGACTTTAAAATTTGTAGATTTTTTTGCTTTCAGCATCATTTAGCTGTAGTTTCTCAGCTGTCCTTGAGAGTGTTTCTGGGTGGAGGCTGAGATGTTATCATGTGTCTAGCTTTTTCAGCCTCTCCACTTTTTACATTGGCTGTTATGACTTTTTTAAAAGCAGCTGGCATGTGCCGGTTAACTGCATGCCAGTGTCATTGGTGTAACTATATACAGTGTCAGTGTCACACCTATATCCACTCACACAATTACAGTAAATAATTCACCTATGTGCTCTTGATTTGCTGTCAATATAAGATGGATTTTGTTTTAAAGGAGGGTTTTAAGACAACAAAACTGGTACGGCTCTCTACACTATAAACAAGAACATGTACTTTTAGGATCCATGTTATTGATAGGTTAAAATAGGGGTGGGCAATTCTTTTTTGCGTGGGGCCACATGAGAAACAGAAAATATTGTGGAGGACTAGGCCAAAACTCTCAATTCTGCATAATATTAATTGTATTTCTTTATAAAAAGCAGTAAATAGCATTGTTTTTGACAAGCTGGTAAGACTGGTAAGAGTTTAAGTAATGACTAAGCAATGAAAAAAAGAGGTTGCCTTACAAAAAATGTCATTTAAAAACACCTAAAATAAGACCAATGCAGCTTTAGTCCATGCATGAGGTCAAATTATAAAATATGTTTATTTTATAATTCCAAATTAGCTTAAACGGGTTGGTCAGAGTCAACCAAAGGGCCGTATGTGGTCCCGGAGCTTTACAATGCCCAGGTCTGGGTTAAAACCTGCCACAAAACAATACAGTGATAACAGCTACTTTGTTTATCAAAGCTGTTCCTCTATATTCACTTGGCTGCATGGAAAGGACTCACTTTTGCTGGTAGCCTCTCTTGGTCCTGGGCTCCTCAGGAGACTGGCTGACATCAGTGTCTGCTGTGGCCATCGTGAGCAACCTGTTAGCCTTGGTCTAAAGAGTGCTATTAGTCATTACTGATGCTTTTATTTCCAAAAACATGCTCTTGTGTTAAGGAGCGTCTGTTTTTTCTATATTGGTTGCTGTTTCAGGCTCCTCCCTTTGGTCCTCGTGGTAAGGACTGGGGGACACCCTGCACGTCATAACTGTTCAAGGGATTTTAAATGTGAGGAGATTGTGTTATCAGAGACACACACATGTGACAAGGCTGCACGTCTGCGTAAGCATTAGGAGTTCATCTCTGGTCTCACATTGTAAACCTTGTTACACTGTGTAACAATTTGCTCAAATAAAATAAATGTAATTAAAAATTAAATGAAAAATTGCTGCACTCCACTGAAATCAGTGGATATTTGTCTGTTGATCATTAATTAAATACATTTAATTGCCACTCTAATATAAGTTTTAAATTATCTTCTTTCCAATACAGATTTTATTGTAATTCCTATTAATTAGTGGCCAGTCTCTCTGTAAGTGTAACTACTGAAATGTTATGGATTTTTTTCATTTAGGATGATGCTGATTTGCTGCATATTATGTTTAATGACTGCTATTTGCAGTGTTCACTGTGGTGGGAGATGCTGAAGTAAAATATATTACATTTAATAATAATTTAATAAAAAATATATATATATTACTGCACTTAACGTGCTACAACATGTAGTCACATGATGGTAGGATCAAATCTTCTGATCCTTTTGAAAATGTATTGACCCATTTGTATAATCCCAATTTGTATTTTGGAGGTAAGTATTGATACTTTGCGAGTGATTTCATGAATTTTCCATGTGGGTGTAATTGGTGCTTCATCAGACTTTAATTTATGCTTTATTTTAACATAGGTAATCTTATTTGTGCTGTTAAACAAGTCATATACACATTAGCCAACACCTAGAAGCATGAACACTTGTACTGATCACAGGCTCCATTTATTTATTTATTGTAATCTTAAAACTTTTTTGATGCTGTTTGCTAATGTGTAACTCTTAAACATTCCACCATTACAGATACATGCAGAATACCCCCAGCATAATGTCATTGCTAAGTATCCATTGGTCATCTAAATCTGAGTGATAGCAATATCCTTACAAAAAAGCATTAAGGTTGTAAAATCATAAAACCTTTATTGTTAATCCATAGAAGACATAGTTTGAGTTGTACTTTTTGAAACAAATATTGTCAGAACTTTGTTTCACATAGTGTACCATAGTTTTTTGTTAGCTCATTGGAAGGTGTTTTTACAGATTTGTGTATTTTCTTAAACTCTGCAGCAATCTCCAGAGGTGAACGATTATTGGTCTCAGGAAAGCAAAACCTCACATACAAACAAGTAGACACACAGAAAATCAGAAATATTAGGAAACAAAAGTGAGCCATTTTTTCCTGCAAAAGAAAAAAATTAATGTCAAATATTGCAAGTCAATAAAATATAAAATACTTCTTACAACTAAGACGGGAAAGAGCATTCCCACACAAAAGAGTCCAGCCCAGTTGAGAGAGGTTCCAACAGTGAAGGCTGCAGACCTGTACGCTTGTGTGAAAAGCTCCCCAGGAACAGGAGCGGAGGCGCCAGCTGCAAAGAATGAAGGAATCACTGGAAAGACTGTAATGTAACTATGCAACATAGTGAACTGTGAATTATTATTCTTATTTATAATGTAATATCAACAAATCAATAAAATATACTAATTACAATTAATGAATGAATTATAAATGAGAGACTTACATGGTCCACTAGCAAAAGAGAATATAAAAAGAAAAATCAGGACCATGCTGCAATAAGGCATCCATGAGAGATGTGTCTATAAGGAAAAAATATGTACATGTGAATATATTATACTTCAGGAGTGGTGGTCAAAGAAAAACAATGTGACAAAACCCACAAGAAAAAGAGTGGTGACATTTTTATTTTCAAAAAATACTTTTTTTTTTTTCTTTTTTTTTTTTACAATCTACTATGCACCTCTACTACCAGTGAACCAATGAATACATAACTTAAACTGATATTGTATAGGTGGTCACCTGCAGACACATGGTGATGGTGAGGAGAACCAGCATCACCGACATCAGCGCATACCCTCTGAAAAGCATCATCTTTTTGCCTGAATACTGGGCTATGAAAAACTGGAACAGAGCAAAAGTGGGAAAAAACCCCATTATAATATCCAGGCATGCAAATGTACCACAGGGGGGCGCTGCAGTGACACAGTGGTGAGGCAGTGGGACACATCCAGCATCGTAAGAGCACATGTAATGGCTTTGAAAGGTCACAGTCGTTGAGTTACATACCGAGCAGCATTGAGGCATGCCGGTGTACGACTCACCAGGGATAAAGAGGCGGACAGCTCGCACAAACCGGTTCCCAGCGCAGCGTAACGGAGGTCCTTCTCACCGATTCCCACTTGACGGAAGACTTCATATGAGTAAAAGTAAACCTACCGCACAAACGAGAATGGACACGGTATGAGAGGTGCATAGAGTGCTGCTCAATGTGAGGAATGTATTCTATAAATGTGTGGCGGTCTTATGAACCAATAGTTTAGCTCACTTCTATACCAGGCGTATACAATGTCAGCCTAATTTTAATCTTGCAGATGCAACGATGAATATAGTTGGCAGACTCACACTGTGGGATGGGGCCGTCGATATTAAGTAATCTGCATTTCGCAATAATGATAAGGACTGAAAATGACAAGGGCTCTTTTAAATAAATTGCTATCTATTATGTGATTTATTCTGTATTACTGTTTGCTATTTTATAATAAACACACAAGTTAGGACAAGTTTGGAAAATTCGTTCTTTTTGGATTAATGATATTATTGTTTAATTAAATTTCCAGACAAGGTGTGTATGACAGGGTAGACTAAAGCCTGGAAAGTGAAAGCATCAGTGGTGCCCGTGGTGATCAGAGCACTTGGGGCCGTAACCCCCAAACTGGAAGAGTGGCTACAGCCACTACAGTGGCTACAGTGAAATGGATATTTAAACTGACTGACAAATGCCTTTCTTGTTTGTGTGTTGTACTTACATTTTGGATGGAATTATCTGTGCTGATGATGTAGATGTAAAAAATTTTTCTTTTCAAGTTTTTTCCACATAGTGTATGTAAAGTTATGACATTTATTTCCATCAAGTACTAATATGAAAACCTGAAAAACCTGTCACATGCTCTTTAGCCTTTCAAGTGATATCAATGTGATGTAACCCAGTTACTCAAGTGAGAATATAATAGAGTTTTGTTTTAATATAATCTGGCCAGAAAGAACTGACTTAGATGGAATTAGTTGGCTCCTGAAATGTTTAAATTAAATACATTTAACTAAATAAAATAGTTAAAATAACTTTTGTATTATTTGTTTTGTGTTTTGTGGTGAGTTTTCAAACTCTGAAAATGTCTGCTATGTGAAGTCACTGCAAAAAGCCATGCATTGACTGATGGCCCAAACACAACCTGATCCTTAAATTGAATGCAGAGCATGGGAGCCTTTAAAAGCTGAGTGTACTGTGTAAATGCCATGTTTGAGAAGCACATTGTGACTTACAGCATTGATGCCACAGAGCTGCAGGGTGGTGAATATGACTATGACTGAGATGAGTTGCCAGCGGATGTCCTGGTTTCTGAACAGCTGCAGTACTGTCCGTGTCCCTGCGTTCTGCTGCACCACCTTCTCCTTCAAAATCTCCTCCATCTCCAAGTGGTAGTCCCCGTCCCCCCACAACCTCTTCAGAGCTAACCACAAGGGATCAAGTCATGGTTTGCATTAGTTTGGTTCAGTGTGATCTCTATAGGTCTGGAGGTTAGACCACTGACAAATGTAAAGAATCTCAGAGACAGTTTCATCCTACCCCTCTTTGCAATGTTGAGTGTCCCTAATGTTCCCACCTTGCTCACAGGCCGGTCGGTCTCCTGTAGCCAGCAGCAGGAAGCTGGGAGACTCTGGCAGCAGCGGCAAAGTGAGCAGCTGAACAAGTGATGTCAAACCAGTGAAACTAAGCAGCCAGGGCCACCTCTCCCTGGTGCCAAGCAAATCACTGTGGAGATTTACACATAATGAGGACAATATCTTTCACATAGTGACAGTGTCTGTGTAATTCCTCAGTTGCCCAGCTTGCTTCCATAGGTTATTTCAACATAGTAACAGCCCCAAGAAGGACTTTTCACCATTCAAATTATATTATATTTTGAGTTACAGTATTAATAGCTATGCCAAGGGTCCACATGTCCATAAGGGTATTAATATCCAAGCACAATTGACTTATGAATAAGTCAAGCTCAACAGATTCATCCTTAATGCTGTAGTGAGCAGTCATTTAAGTGTATAAATTGAGCAATTATAATGACTCAAGTACACTTCCCTGTATCAATACTTTTATTGCCAATAAGTGCGTCAAAAATATTAATATTCTGAAAGGGAGGTAGGATCTTTTAACATAGTGAGGACACAATAACTTACACACAGGTGCATTCTTTTGACATTGTCATGGCATAAGATAACCTAAGAAACCTATATGGGAGAAGTCAACATTCCTAAAAATTTTGAAATTGAGATTTATTTTTGTTGTGCTCCTTGTAGGCTACCTCTAATTTTGCCAGTCTCTATTGTTATTAGAAGCCAGCCCTCTGACCCACTTCAGTTCTGTCTTCAGTGTCTGTGGCTGTGTTGCTCTCACCTGATTCCCAGGAGCTGACCACTGAATTTCCCCAAAGAAATAAAGGAGGCCACTGTGACCCCCACTGCCCCGCGCAGCCTTTTGGGGGCACACTCCACCAGGTATATGATATGAGCTATGAGCCCGAGTCCTCAACAAGATGCATTATAAATAGTCAATAGAGATCAATATCAGTACAATGACAAATGAACTAGTCAATTCCAGGATATAAATTGTGCATGCATCAATCAAAATCCATATTGCTAGAGTTAATAGGGCAAACAAAAGACATTTTACCTGCATTCATGCCATAGAGAAAGCGTGCCACCATTATCATCTCGAAAGACATGGCTGTCTTACTTAGGAGCATCAACACAGCTGCAATTAGAGCTGGAATACTGTTTAATAAAAGACATTTTTTTCTGTTGGCCAAAAAAGAGAGATTTAAGGGTTCAATAACAGCAATTTAAAGTATGTTTATATCTGTTTATTTACCTCCCAAATTTTGACATGATAGAATTAGCCAACAGTGCAGACAGTAATGCTCCAATACAGAAAATGGACACAATAAAAGACCAGATCAGAGAAATCTGCCACTGTTCCAGGTTAACACCATATCTTTCTATACAGGTAATGTTCACTAGCTCCTGGATGAACTGCAACAAAGTTACAATATTATTATTTTACATTCATACATTCTTAAAGGGTTTGGTATAGTTTTTTTTTTTGTATTTAAACTGATCCATAACTTAGACTCACTAAAGAGGGAGAGGTCATTGAGGATATACTGACTCCATATTGATAGGCCCCTCCAATGCCACAGATGAAAATGGCAGCAATAAGCAGGGGACACTCAAGCTAAACACACAGAACTGCGTTAAACTTCAGGTATGCTATTCTAAAGTACTTTGTTATATCTGTAAATAATATATTTCTTTGAAAACAACAAAATGCCATTTTAGTTCAAAACAAACAAACAACAGAGCACACACAAAATATATATCTAAGGGAAAAAGAAAAACTTACTAAAAGTCGATCATTCAGGGACATAGCTGAAGTCGTCTGTGTGTCATCTCTGTACTCAATCTAGTTTCAAATTTTCCATGTTACAGGTTTGCACAAAGTCCAATTATTAACTTTTAAAGATGACAATGACAAAGCAGACTGAATGAGGAGCTATATGCAGATTTTCGTTTTTGTTGACCTAACAAGAGACTTTGGACAGACAAAGAAAGTGTCAAGTCATTGTCTTGATACAAAAAGTCATTTCACAATTAAAAATATTTAGTGCTAGGCAGCAGTTTTAATTTGTATTCGCAATTAAGCCAACTGCATGAATGTAATTAATCATATGTTCCACACTAAAGTGAAAAATTAGTACACTAAGTTTGGACACACCCTCTCATTCAATGTTTTTGTCTTTATTTTTACTACTCTCTACATTTTATACACATAAAGAAGACATCAAATATATGAAGCAAGAAAAAACAAGATTTTTTATTTTTTTTAAATTTTAGATTAAAATTCCTTGAAGTAGACAAAATGCTTTGAAATGCAAATTGTCAAAAGCAGTGATAAAAGCAAAGGGTAACTATTTTTCTAAATCTAAAATCTGAGTTATTTTGAGTAAATTTTTGTTTAATGCATTTTATATGTGTTCATTCATAGTTCTGATGCTTTCAGTGACAATCTAAAGAATCATAAATAAGACAAAGCATAAATGAAAAGTGTGTCAAAACGTTTTGACTGGTAGTGTATATTAAGACTCCCATAAAGGCTTCTACTTCATTTGACCATTTTAGGCCTAAAATTATTCAAATAGTGTTTTCTTATATTTGTGTAATGTGTTGGATATGGTTAACAACAATTTGGCAGGGACTGGCCCCTAGTAGTCCTTTGAAAAAAGTAAAATGCAGCCAAAAGTGCGTGTGTGTGGTTATTGACAGATCTGCAAGATTTTATAGGTAATCCCTGCTGACAAATGACAAATGTTTGACAATGACAATTTGAATTAGATCAATTGCACAACAGATGACACTGGTGTCCACTGAATAACAATCATTATAGCCATACCACTTTGAGAAGGTCTGTCCTAGTCTGATCTGATCTTAGGGTTAGGGTTGAGGCTGGTTTGTACTGATATAGGAGGCCATTGGTGCCAGAGTTGAACAATGACTATAGTGCATACTATTGTGTCTTGGGCATGACACTTGGTAGGAATTTGCTGGACTATAATCCAGTGTGTTACAGCCATTGTCTGTTTTCACTTGTTTTAGAAGGATAAAGTTTGGGATGAGGCACACTAAAAAGGGGTATAGCAAGATGGCAATGCTATACTGATGGATCAGAGACAGATATAAAAGCAGAAGGAAAAAAATGAAAAGGGGTGTGGAGGGCAGAGAGAGAAATATAGAGATGTGCTTGAGTGTATTTGAGGGAAAGTGAGGACTGCACTGATTATAAATGGGATCCGGGAAAACGCTACACCTGACAAATGCACAGGAGAGGGATGGCTGATTTTATAACCACTTAGAGCAAAGAGAGCAAAAGGAAAAGCCTGAAATTGGATCACAAAAGAGCAATGGTAGCCCAGCACATCAACAAGCATCTCTTTATACAGCCACCTTGGATAAAAGATTAGAGGTATCTAGCTACTTATTTTCAAAGTTGTTTCAGGGAGTGGGAGACATCTTTGTGAAGGGTATTTCCTGGACAACTGATTAGTGTTTTTTTTTATAATTTTTTTTTTTTGTTTTATCTTTGGACTGGCTACATGAAATTGTGTCTTTGTGTCTTTTCTAACTACATTGCTGCTGTCAAAATCTTGCCTGTGCCAAATGATTGTGTCCACCAGCTGCTCAAGTGTGTCCAAACTTTTACATTGTTGTTCAGCAGATTACAGTCTGTTTTCAAACTGAGAATGGTGGCAACTAGGCCCTCTTTCTTTCATAAAACAATAAAATGTCTTAATTGTATGATGAAAACAACCAAAAGAAAGGCCCATTCTCCAACCATACATACACATGCTCTCCAGTTGTTTATAGTTCAAAATTTTGATAATGATTTCCATTAAACATTCATCCAAGTTGAATACCTGCATACAATTTAGCCAGAATAAGAACTTTCCCAGTGGGAACATTGCATCATCAGTATGTTCATTTGGGAAAACCTGCCACAATTCAGTAAGAAATTCACAAGTAAAGTTGGAATGGAAAATATCAACCAATAGTGTAGAGAAGTTGTCTGACTTTTACGGTCTTTTGGAAAACAAACAAGGACAAAATAGTATTTATCCTACTTGACTATGGGCTCTGAGGTGGTAGAAGCTCAGAAGATATAAGGATGAATGATGAAGGAGAGGCTAAGTATAAGCACACTGGAGGAGCTGTGCCAAAGCACTGAGGTCCTCCCAAGTCAAAGGACAGTCATGGCAACGCTCGATTGTCATCAATTATACATGGATCACAGGTTCACTTTACAAGGAGCTGTTCAGCCTTCCACAGTCAAGACATATGTTCACATCATGTGTCAGCTGCAACCAAACAATGGACTTTTAGCGACATCGCCCCAGCTGTATATTAAAGAGGGGCTATTATACAAATTTGATTACTTTTTAGCATTCTACCATGTTATAATCTTGTTCCTACATCATAAACATAACTGAAGGGGTGAAGAGGTTTTTGATGTCATGCGTGTTAGAATATTTTAGAGATCTCTCCAGGGCCTTATTCAAACCCTTCTTGCACTTACGTATCTGTAAGATTCTGTGGAAGAAAAGTAATTATTCTCTGGTTTTAGTTTTCATTCTGGTTAACGAATACATGTGATGTGTTTTACACTTAAAGATTTTACCCATGACACCATCAAAGGCCCCTGGTGTCTTCACCTGTTGCCCCCTGCTGCTGTCCTTCCTCATCTCAGCTGTACTTGAAATGCTAATCTTTTGAAACAATGACACTGTTTTACCAAAAGGGGGTTTATGAGGGTTCTTTGTTATTGCTGTGAAATTGTGCCAAATGTTAATCTGCATACTTTACCCACCTCTTGTGTATAAAATGCTTGCTATACCTTTGCTCGTGGTCAGCTTGCTCCAGAGACACTATGCGTGTCAGAAGCTCACCATCTGCCTGCTTACAACATGCAACTTCCATCCAATAAAGACACCACTACAGCAAACCACATATGAACATGGAATTTTTCTTCTTCAACAATTCTGTGCAATGTTCAGCCCACAAGCCTATGTTGTCCATGCTCCCAACAATTCTACATAAATATGCAAAAACATTATACAAAACTGTTCACAGCCACATCACAAACCTGCTGTGAATTGCAGTAGTTTAATTAGTGGGATGCTCATTGTGTTGTGATAGCACTCTGAAGGAGGAGGAAGCAAAGGGAGGGGAGACTCAGAGCGTCAAAAACGAAAGTGAAACTTAGAAAACATGTTAATACGTTGTTTTCAGCGAAAGGTAAAAAGTACCATAGTGATCTAAATATTTTTTGTGTTAAAGGTAAAATTTTTCAAAGTACATAGCCAAAAATGTAAATAAATAACATCAATGAAATTTTAATTGCTGGTTAGTTGCAAATATATATGCTTTAAAACTTAATTAAATATATGATTCATGTGAAGTAAAAAGTATCTTATACTAGGATAATGGTAGGGTGGCACCACAAAGGCCAGATGCACTTCTCTTTACTTGCCTCCTTCACCTTGATTCCTCTTCCCAGTTCTGAAGGAAATGGGCGAGTCCCACCCACAGAGGACAGGAAAGAGAAGCAGATGAGAGAGGCAGGGGGTGACATCAGCTGAGGGTCAATGGGACAGACTTTCCTCAGGCACTTTCTGATCAAAATGGTCCTGACTGAGCATAGACTTTTATATTATTACTTCAGGACTTTTAAATCAAACTTTGACTATAGACTATATATAAATGGACATAAGTAACCATTTACATGGCAGGTAAATGAAATATATGTACGTGTGTGTGTGTGTGTGTGTGTGTGTGTGTGTGTGTGTGTGTGTGTGTGTGTGTGTGTGTGTGTGTGTGTGTGTGTGTGTGTGTGTGTGTGTGTGTGTGTGTGTGTGTGTGTGTGTGTGTGTGTGTTGTGTAGAGGGAGGGGTGTGTGTGTGTGTGTGGAGGAGCACCTTTAAATCTTGCCTCTGTCTACTCAACAATTAACTTGCGTGCTTCAATAATGGTCTGTCTCAGGTGGCATTGTTTGCCAATTTTTATATTTGTTAAAAATTATTACTCAAATGATCACTCTACACAGAATGTTACAAAAACTATCTTAAAATCTATTTAGAAATAATTTGACAGATTTTGTCTCAAAGTGTGAAATTAAAAGAAACATCTCACTTCATATAAGCAATTCCTAGATTCTGTTGACCGCTGAACAACGTACAAATGAACAATCACAGCCATAGTAATTCAGCACAGCTGTGGAAATCATCTTGAAACCCAACAGGCAAATTCTCCACATTAGCACCATTGCGCCCTTGAGCAGAGCACTTGGTCTAGATTGCCACCAGAAAATATGGCGACACGTTTGCCATCAGGTGTGTTCAGATGTCTCTGATTAGAGCAGCAATGGTAATGAAAATAAGAGGCGGATGTGGCTGAGGAGCAGGTCTGACACTACTCAGGTATCCAGTGTCCACTGGAGACACAGTTAAATTAATCATGCTTCTTTTTTTCTCTTAGACAACATGCTTTGATTTTTTTTTAAAGTCACTGTTTTGCCAGCCAATGGATTGAGAATTTATGCAAAAAGACTACAGCTCTTGCCTCTATTTATAACTTACTTTTATACGGTAAAATAACTTGGACAAGCTCATATGATACTAAGCGACAATGAAATAAACAGAATTACTTCTTATGATCCAATCTCTAACCACTTGTATTTTATATACTTGGTGTTTGATGAATTAACAATTGAAATGGGTTGTTTTAAGCTTTAAGAAGAAGTTAAGGGTCAGCATTCACCAGTAGTGCTTTGGTATGTTTTAATAATTAATGCGGTACTTTGTGTGACCAGTAAATCTAAAATCCAAAACTTAAGTTAAAGAATACACAGTTTTATAGCACAGTTTTTTGT